AACAAAAGGAAACAAAAAAGATATCAATTCATTCTTTATCTTCTTACTTACAACCCCCCCTGTTCAGAACCTCTTGCGTACATATATATCATCACATGAATATGAGAGCGCAAAAGCGAAAAAAAGAAAAAAAAAAAAAGAATGAATTCGTTTTTTTATATCTTCTTCCTTACAACTCCCCCTGTTCAGAACCTCTTCCGTACATATATATGAGTCGGTGCAACTCATCGACGAAACAATCTGTCACAGCCCCTTGTTTGTTGTCTCCTGTTCTACCTCTCAGCCTACTACGGTTTACCGGGCAGTTCTGTTTGCCGATATAGATATATATGTCACACTGTAAATCGGAACGCAAATATATATATACGTTCCAACCGGACGAATCGTGGGCCTCCTGCTGTTAATCCCGCGCTCTCCTAAGGAAAAAAATCAGGAGTATGGAGGAGAGAGGAACAATTACGCTAGCTCGCCTCGCTACTGACTTATTCGTCAAGGATCACGTGCCACGTGGCACATCCAGCAAGGCAGCCGCGAGCTCGAGGAAGAACGAAGGCGAAAAAAGAAGGAGAAAGAGGAGAGGAATGATGAAAGAAGTAGCGACGAAGAACAGACATAGCAGTATGGAGAAAGAAAAAAGAAGAATGAAGGACGGAGGACGACGGAAGACGGAAGCAAGCAATGAAGAAGGAATCAAGATGAAGAAAGACAAGCAATGGCAGATTGCTCTTTACACGCAACACCCATATTTCCATTAGCGACTCCAGCATGTACAAGGAAGTAAGAAGGAAAAAGCAACATGCAGGCGCAACATCAAGGCAAACAGCCGGCACAAGAAGGGAGAAGCGCGGAGACGAAAGGAAGGAGGACGGGAAAGAGGGAAAAGAGGGGAAAGATGGGAGAGGGAAGAGAAGCAGGGAGAAAAGAGAAAAAAGCCGTCGGTGATGATACTGGTGATGGTAGAAGACGGAGCTCGAGGGAGGAAAGAGGAGGAAGGAGACGGACGGAGGGGGTAGAAAAGGAGTTGCTGCCGGTGTGGGTGAAGTTGAGGGAGAAGGAGAAAGGGATTGAGACGAAGGAAGAGAGAGAGAGAAAGAAAGAGAGAGAGAGAGAGAGGACGGAATTGATACCGTCATCACACGAACAAAACGCTCGGTCATTATCGCTGCATCTGGACTGAAAGTTGGCACAAATACAGCTATAATGACCGGGGGTTCTATTCGGTGTGAAGACGGTAGTGGTAGAGCAGGGATAAAATTGTAAAAGGAAGGCGGGGGGGGGGGGGGGGGGGGGGAAGCACCAGGGAGAAAGGAAAGAAAAAGGAGTCGCCGGTGAAGGAAGATATGGAGGAAGAGGAAGAGGACGAACAGATGTAGAAGGAAGAGCGAAAGCTCAAAGAGATGTAGATGGAAGTGGAAGAGAACGAAGAGAGGGAGAAGGAAAAGAGGAGGGGAGAGAGGGAGAAGGAAAAGAGGAGGGGAGAAAGGAACGGCAGGAAGAGGAGCCGCCGAAGGTATAGACGTCATTACCGTTCAGAGACAGCCCATTCACCCACCCTTCGCGAAACGTTGGTTAAATGTTAGCCGCATGACGATGCTTGTTCCATTTGAGCCAAGTTGATAGCTTCACCATTTGCATCTTCCGCTCATTTCTGTTTTCAATGCAAGTTTTCATTTTTACTTCAAGAGTCCATGGTAGAAGACACAAAGAATTGAAAATTGACTTAGGTATGTCCGAGGTATGGGCCATACACCGCAGGACTCCAACTCACACAACCTGTTCGTTTACTAACAGCTACATGTGTGTACCTTCCAACCGCTTGAGCCGGCTATGAGAGAGAGAGAGAGACGGAGATGGCGCTATCGTACATTTCGACTTTGTCGTACTCTTATACACCGTGCTTTATTTTGTTCATGGTCTCTGCAGTCGGGATAGAGATTCGAGCCGCAAATTATTACAGTATTATCCCCTTTCATAAGAAAGAAGAATCGTTATCATACCCTTTCCGACTAATAATCTGATAAGCGAAGAGAAGAGAAGAGAAGAGAAGATAATTTAATAGAAGAGAAGAGAAGTGAAGTGACGACAAGAGAAGAGAAGTGAAGAGAAGAGAAGAGAAGAGAAGAGAAGAGAGGAGGATAGGAGAGGAGAGGAGAGGAGAAGAGAGGAGAGGAGAGGAGAGGAGAGGAGAGGAGAGGAGAGAAGAAGAGAAGACAAGACAAGAGAGGAAAGAAGAAGAAGAAGCATCATAGCGGCGCAAAAGAATGGTAAGCACGAAAGAATTTATTTTTGAGCAACATTAGACTGTTCGGATGAAAGGCGGTATTACTCTGTCGGGGTGTCATGCCATAGGGAAAACAATCCTGGAACAGTTTACTTAATGTACTCACGTCACAAATGAATTGTCCGTTTTAGTTCTATGGAATGGTGCAGGACTGAAGCTCCACTCTTTTTCATTTGCTCGGCCGTTCTACGTTCATTTTGAAATCAGAAAGGGAAGGAAAAGAGAGAGAGAGAGAGAGAGAAGCAGGGGCTCAAAAATGTCCACAGCTGCTCCCTGAGGAGAACAGAAATTCAAAATCCAAACAAACGAATACACGTTGATGACATTCACATTTCCCATACTACTGGAATCCACTTTGCTGTTCAATTCAATGCAAAGAATACCAAATGGATTAAATAATCCGGACATTCTCTCTCTCTCTCTCTCTCTCTCTCTCTCTCTCTCTCTCTCTCTCTCTCTCA